AAAAAAAAAAAAAAAATAGAGACTCTGAGCTGGGTTCTGGAAATGCCCTCAGAGCTGCTTGCTGGCACAGATGGGGTTGAACAGGGACTTCAGGTGTGTCATTTCCAGGGCTGTTAGGGCTGACCACAGGAGATAAGGCCAGGGCATCGGGTAGGGGAAGAAGATGGAGGATCCTGGATCCTGGGATAAGCTCTGGGACAGAAGGGTTTGCCCCTCCACCTGACTGTCTCCCTGCTTCCTTGCAGAATTTGACATCTGGTACAACGAGTCTTTTGTCATCCCTGAGGACATGCAGGTGGCGCTGAAGCTGGGCGGCAGCATCCGGCCAGGCATGGTGCCCGCCAGCAGGGTCGTGTCTCTGGTGAGTGGCACGCAGGACCATGAGTGAGGTTAACGGAGGCGGCAGTGCCCTGCGCGGCCTTGTGTGCTCCCCCCAAATATGGCAAGATATGAGGCGCCCTAGGCTCTTCTCCTATGGCTGGCCCAGCCAGAGATCCAGATCCGAGTCCTGTCCTCAGTGATCAAGGGAGGGAGGGGACAGAGAAAGAAGATAGCACTCTCGCTACTGCCACTCTTCTGGAGTGGATGCTGAGACACGGGGATTGCTGGGTTTAAGAGGTGCCCGTCAACATAGGATATATATCCCGATGCCCAACACAGGCGCTGCCAGGGTGGTTCCTGGCAGTGTCAGGCTGGAAAGGGAAGAGACTATATTAGGGTCTGGCTTCCCCCTAGGGAGAAGACGACCAAGACAAGTTCAGCCAGCTGCAGCAGACGGCACTGCCTGATGGGCCTGAGTCCATCTCCTTCTATAATGCCAAAGCCAGGACAGATCAGAAGGTAACTCAAAGAGGTCCATATTTCCAAGGCAATCTCCTGAACTTAGGACAGCCGTGCAGATCCAGAGTCACCCACAGTTCATTGTCTTCTGTGGGATGGGACTGTAGAGCAACAAGGGGGGAGGGGCTTTGTGCCAGGCTTATCCCCCTGATTGGTGGGTGCTAAGTCCCTGATGTGTCCTTCACAGGCTAGGTTAAGGCCTAAGGATCCTATGAGGCCCCTGACGGTCAAGGAGGTCCTCTGCAAGAAAGCTGCTCAGCACAGGAGGCAGACAAAACAGGAACAGATGCGGCCGAGGTGGAGCTAGACATGGACTCAACCACAGGTTGGACTGGAGGAAGCTTTGCTAAAGATCAGTGAGGGGCGGAGAAGGTGGCTCAGTGGTAGAATGTTTGCCTTGCATGCATGAGTCCCTGGGTTTGATTCCTCAGTACCACATAAACAGAAAAAGGCAGAAGTGGTGCTGTGGCTCAAGTGGTAAAGTGCTAGCCTTGGGCAAAAGAAGCTCAGGAACAGTGCCCAGGCCCTGAGTTCCAGACTGGCGAAAAAAGAAAAAAAAAAGATCAGTGAAAGAAGCCATGTGCTGGTGGCTCATGCCTGTCATCCTAGCTACTCAGGAGGCTGAGTTCTGAGGATCACAGTTCAAAGCCAGCCAGAGCAGGAACATCTGTAAGACACTATTCTCCAATAAACCACCAGAAAACCGAAAGTGGCACTGTAGCTCAAATGGTAGAGTGCTCACCTTGAGCTGAAGAGCTCAAGGACAGCGCCCAGGCCCAGAGTTCAAGCCCCATGACTGGGGGGGGGG